GTCGGACTCACTCACAGGCACCAGCGTTTACCGACCGTCACGCTGGGCTCACTCACAGGCACCAGCGTTTACCGACCGTCACGCTGGGCTCACTCACAGGCATCAGCGTTTACTGACCGTCACAGCACCAGGAAGCATTTTCTGAATAGTGAGCGAAAGTGCATCTGCCTGCCAGTAAAGCAGGGCATGCTGTGGCTTCTCAGAAACCATGTCAAAAACAAGTCAGATGTCAAATAAACTTGAGAGTGTGTGTCAGCAACAGGGAATCGAGTCGATTTTTAACATCCGCAGGCTGCCTCCAATACCTCAGCCCGGACATGTGATGTTTACTGGTTGGATGACAATGACACTTGTTTTTTCAAACAGGTTTTGCAGGTCCAACCCTGGGCTAGTGACATCACTGAACACTAAATCATCCCACATGGCTTTTAACCAGCAAAGGTGTGGTAGGCACACAGGGAAACAGGGGGCAAAAGCAGATGTTGCCATGCAAGCCTCTTTTTGATTTTGGCGTGTCATCTGTGGAAAGTGTCTAAGTACACAACTGCAGAAACAGCGGCATGTTCTAGGAAAGGAGAGAGCGGCTCCCTGGTGAGATCGGAGACAGGAAACCCGCTGAGGGTTACAGAGGCGTTGGAGTGCGTGACGCAAGCTGCCCCCCCCCCCACCCACAATGAAAAACAAGAGCTAATCCTCCACATGATGAATGTAAGCCTCCAGCATTCAGACCACAGCTCAACCAAGTGTCCCCCCACCTAATCAGGGTAAACCTAACCCAAACCCCTCTGAGACAGAGAGTCTACAATCGGTAGCAGAAAGCCCACATTTAGGGCTGATAGGCTCAGCCTGTAACGGCTGGTCCAAGGCAGTTTGGAGAAGCAGCCGACATGTCAGTGTGGCAGGGAGGGTGGGGGCCGGGGGCCTGGGACCAGTGGGGGTGGGACGGCAATGGCAGGTCAAGGCCTCCTGGGTTCTGGTGGAATCTGGCCATGCTGATACAGGTTTGAGTCCAGCACATATACAGGAGTGTAATCTGTTAGTGTTTAGTCACTTGTGGGAACTTAATTTCATTTTAAAGAGGAAGTGTGTCTTATAGGGAAACACCCTCCCCCATGACCTGCAGTCTCAATTCTCCTACAGAAACTTTCAAACTTGAATAATAAAAGACTCCCCCGCCTCACACGCTACCCCCCTATGTTTATGGATTTACGAGCACCGCCTGACCAGCAGTCTGCCATAAAGAGACCCGGCTCCTCCGCGGCCAGGTTAACGCCGCCCTCTGCTTCATGCCCCAGGTCCTGGCAGCGTGTAGATCGCTCTGACAGCCGCCGACTCGCTCACACGTGCCGCACACACACGCCCTGCCCGAGATGAAGGTGCTGATCGTGGCTCTCGCCCTCTGGGGGGCATCCTACGCTGCCAGCCTCTCCTTGGAGGACCTGGAGTTCCACGCCTGGAAGCTGCAGTTTGGTGAGACCCTTGTCTTCTGAAGTCTATGAGCATGTTACCTGAGAGAGCAGTGAGCTGCCTCTGTTTGGGAGCCTCTCTGTGTGGTTTGGGGTAAGGAAGGAATAGGCGTTAAAGACAAGCAGATTTCCCTGTGTGGTTTAGAAGTTTGCTCCTATTTGACTGAGAAACACAAATGTACCCATATCCTTGCTTGCGTCTTTGTCGGTGCCAGCGTCTGGGCCGTGGTCATGCTCATGGTCATGTCTGCCTGCCTTGTATCACTTTGGGCTCACTCACAGGCACCGGCGTTTACCGACCGTCACGCCGGGCTCACTCACAGGCACCGGCGTTTACCGACCGTCACGCCGGGCTCACTCACAGGCGCCGGCGTTTACCGACCGTCACGCCGGGCTCACTCACAGGCACCGGTGTTTACCGACCGTCACGCCGGGCTCACTCACAGGCACCGGCGTTTATATCACTCTGACACACGCAGCCGTGCTTCGCAGGCCGGCTGCTGTGGGCAGAGCTGCTCTTTCCGTGCCTTTGCTTGTGACACTGGGTAGCGAGTGCTGAGTGGCAGGCGGCATCACGGAGGTAAACAGCCAGGGAAACATGAATATTCATCTGCCTCTCGTGCTTCTTAGACCTTTTTTATGATGTTAATGTCAAACACATACAGCCCAATGCTGACAGCAAAGTGGTGGCAGGCTGCAAAGTTCACCCCGACCCCTGGGAATCCAGGTAGCGATAACAACTAATAACTGAAGCAGTAAATAATGAGCAATAGAAAGGAGCATTTCCTGGCTTCAGCACAAGCCAGCTTTACCTGATGAACATTCACCCTAAAACAGAGACACCCTGAGATACACTGGTTCGATCCGCCGGCCCGGTCGTGATTGGCTGAAGGGCTGACCAAAGAGGCGCTCTTCTCCTGGGAGGGTTAGTGTTGGGATGTAACTTGGCTACCCCCCCCCAGGAAAGGTGTATGACTCCCCTGCTGAGGAGGCCCAGCGGAGGCTGACCTGGCTGTCCAACCGCAAGCTGGTCATCGTGCACAACATGCTGGCTGACCAGGGCCTGAAGAGCTACCGGCTGGGCATGACCTTCTTCTCTGACATGGTAGGGCTCTGGGGGCTGGGCTGCAGGGCCCAACAGCCCACTGTGGGTGGCGGGGCAGGTACCGGGGGGGTTATATGTCAGAGAGAGCCCAAAAGTGAGGGGCTGACCCCACCTCACCCTGCAGGACAACCAGGAGTACCGGCGCACTGCCTTCAGTGGCTGTCTGGGCTACTTCAACGCCACCCTGGGGCGAAAGGGCAGCTCCTTTCTGCGGCAGGTGGGGGGCCTGGGTCTCCCCAGCGAGGTCGACTGGAGGACCAAGGGCTACGTCACCGAGGTCAAGGACCAGAAACAGTGCGGCTCCTGCTGGGCCTTCAGCGCGGTGAGATGGGGCGTGAAGGCGGTGGGTGTGAGTGGGGGGTGTTTGGCTGCCTCTGACAGCGTACACCCCACCCCCAGACTGGCTCTCTGGAAGGCCAGACCTTCAGGAAGACCCAGAAGTTGGTGTCCCTCAGCGAGCAGCAGCTGGTAGACTGCTCCGGTGATTATGGCAACTTCGGCTGTGGCGGGGGGCTGATGGACAATGCCTTTAAGTACATCAAGGACAACGGGGGTATTGACACCGAGGAGGCGTACCCTTACGAGGCCATGGCAAGTGCCCCCTCCCTCCCTACCCCGTCCGGCTCTCCCAGGACAATAAACAGGAGTAGTAACCCCTCAATCCCCCCACCCAGGATGGGAAGTGCCGATTCAAGCCGGATGCCATCGGAGCGACGTGCTCGGGCTATGTGGACGTCCCCGAAGGCGATGAGGCCGCACTGCAGGAAGCTGTCGCCACCGTGGGACCTATTTCTGTGGCCATCGATGCCGGTCACGTCTCCTTCCAGCTGTACAACTCAGGTGAGAGTGTCGTGGGCTGACAGAAGACTCCCTCCACCCCTCTCCCATATCACCCCCCACAGTCATACACGACGAGCGTGTCCTCTCATACCGCCCCCTGCAGGCATATACAACGAGCCCGAATGTAGTAGCAGTGACTTGGACCACGGCGTGCTGGCGGTCGGCTACGGAACCGAAGACGGCCAAGACTACTGGCTGGTGAAGAACAGGTAGAGGCTGGTGGCTCCGGTCCCTCCGTTAGCGTAATTACACTGATTTACTGTCACTTTACCCAAAGACAGCAGTGGTGACCTTTGACCCAATGCCACACAGTCCCCAGTCATTAATCAGTGACTGTTTAAAGTGGAGTAATGACCTCACAGGCTGATATAGGGGCTGTGTGCCCAGATGCAGGGCTTTAGAAACGCTGATTCACATGGGCGTGTGTGTGTGGCTTTCAGCTGGGGTCTCGCATGGGGTGACAAAGGCTACATCAAGATGTCCAGGAATAAGCAGAACCAGTGTGGCATCGCCACAGCCTCCAGCTACCCTCTGGTCTGAGCACAGCCACAGGTACAAATATTAAAATACCGCTTGGCTTCCCTGAAGGCCAAAAGTATGGGGTGCGGGAATCCCTGCAGGGACACCTCTGGGGATACCTCCTCGCGGTGACCTACGTGTTTCACCTCCCACAGGGAGGAACCGGGCAGAGGTCACAATGGAGATATGGAGAAGAATAATTAACATCAATACCTCACGGCTTCCCAGGGCACAGAGAATTTACCAGAACATCCACTGTGAATGCCGCCCAGTAGTGCATCGCAGCATGACTGGATACTTGAGTTTGCAGTAATTGCCGTAAATATGTGTATATTAACACAAAATCCTGACCAATAAAACTGACATGATCTGACCTTTGATACTTTCATCAGTCATTCTTCGGTTAGGCTGACGTCAGGCCGTCCCTCTGTCCGGAGAGCCTCACGGTGACGTCAGAAGGGCACAGAGATGCCAGGAAGGGGACACCGAAGCCCCTGTGAGCCTCAGAGGGCTGTCTTAAGCCGGGACGGCTAACGTGGGCATCAGCCTTCACGCAAAGTAATGACAAAAACTTTCCATTGGGATAAGGAATGGCTCTGTCTCCATGGATACCATCATAACTATTGTGCTGAGCTATGGCCACATTACGCGCTTAACTGGACGCACTTTGGCACGTGTGTCATACCTGTTGTCACGTGTGCGTTGCTCAGTGCTGCCTCCTTCAGTTTCTTCAGGTTATAGTATTTCGTATAACAGAATTCGTCCATCTGTTTTTCCCATCACTTACCCTGGTCAGGGTAATGGGGGGAGGGGGTATCTCAGAGCATGTGCGCGCGCGAGCACACACACACACACACACACACACACACACACACACACACACGTTTGTATGGGTATAACCCAAATCCCTACAATGACAACCTTAACCCCTACTCAGCCCCAACCTTAACCATAAATAACCAAACCTAGCACCAGACTTTTGGAATTAAGTTTTTTGATGGTCCCCATAAATGTTAAAATAAAGTTTTTTTTTTAATCATATTTGGTCCTCACAGTGTAATATATACATATTCCACATGCACGCACACACACGCATAAGTCCCTGGCGGTCTACTTGCATGCTTTTCTGTGCTGTGCAGTCCGCCTGCATGCCTTCCTGTGCTGTGCAGTCCGCCTGCGTGCCTTCCTGTGCTGTGCAGTCCGCCTGCGTGCCTTCCTGTGCTGTGCACCTATCAGTCAAAACTTGCCAGAATATGCTGGAAACAGGGAGGAGTCAGTTGCTTCATAATCATTTGCCAGCAGCAGACAGATGTTGCCTCTTTGTCCAGTCAATTACTACTTACAGATTTGCAGGTGGGCTACAAGTAACAGTGTGTTAGCCACATTCTGACGGGGAGCACGCTTCATGGTCTGGCCCACATGGGAGCAGAAGATGGAACAAAGAAACGGGGTTTATTTCAACCAAAAGACCTAACAGAAAGGAACAGGATCATGGCAGATCAAAACTGGGAGTACAGAACACAGCTGACAAGATGGGCCACAGACAGGATTGACATTAATAGCAGGACTGGGAAGCACTTTTATACGAGGGAGCAAAACAAAAGGCAGCTGGAGTGAATCACCCAGGGGCAGGAATGAGAGGCAAGACAGACGTGTAACAGGTGTGGCTCGTTAGAGGGAGGGTCAGATGGCGAGGAGGGCGTTACATATTGTTAGGAGAATAATAACAAATACTAATACTATACTGCAAAGAAGAAGGTAAGAACAGTGATAAACAGGCAACTGAAAACAGGGGTTTTACACATTTTAGGGCATAAACTGTTTGGCAAACTAAGAAGAATAGCAAAGACTAGAAGCAGTGCTGAACGATGGCTGTTAGGGAAGGGGACTGATGAACTGCCCAGATCTTCCAACCAATGGCTTATGATGAATTTCCACATTGACAAACATGCTGCTTTGAAAGAAGCAGCTCATCTGGCCATGTGCAAAGTCCTAGGAATTTGGCAGCACACAAGAATAGCACATCAGCGGATAGAGTCCGGGATTTGCATACTGATGAAGCTTTATGATGCATATGCAAAGGCAACAGGCCCATTTTCATCTGTAAATTATGTAAAGTATGTATTTTATCATAACCTAACAGTGGGCAGACAAACAAAATTAGAGCTGGGGAGGTCATGTCTCATGAATTTAATTTTTTTGACCATCCTGGTGAACACGCTTCATGGCTTGGCCGACATGCCTGTGCTGCTACAGACAGACAGGCACTCCCCGCGCTTCATGGCCTGTGCTGCTACAGACAGACAGGCACTCCCCGCGCTTCATGGCCTGTGCTGCTACAGACAGACAGACACTCCCCACGCATTCTGCCTCCTCCTTAGGAGACTTGTACATCTTCCTTTAAAAGGCTGCTCTCTTTGCTGTTCATCCTGCTTCCTATCATGTAACAACACTGCCCCCTTCTGTACCCACATGAACCCTTTAAGAATTTGTATCTCCCTTTCCTTTGTCCAAGCCCTCGTCTAAGGAGACTAGGGAAGGCATTTTTTTCAGATCCAGGGGTGCAAGGGTGATAAACTCTATGGAGACAAAAAAACACAGTCTTGCATGCAGAATGGGTACATAAGCTGCTAGGATGGGCTTGCGGGAGAGAGAGGTCACAGTCACAGGTCAAAGAGGTCACAGGTCAAAGAGGTCACAGATCAGCATCCCAGAGACAGATCTGAGATTTCAAAATCTACAAACCGGCTACACTGCTCTTAAAGTAAAAACATGGTGAACAACACATACTTGCATTTTACCTTGTTTACAGCTGCACTTTTAATGGATCCCCTTCAGCTTGAACAGCAGAAAGGTACAACAACGGTTACCCCAACAAGTAGCAATGTTTCTAAGGGCCATTTACTCTATATTGCATCATTAGGACTTCAGTGTAAGACACATACATCATAAAATATTATCATTTGTTTTTTACTTTGCATATCTAAATCAATTTGTTCCATGGTGGGCAGGAAAGACGCCTTTCCATCTCATCTGTATGCCGGCTGCTGTACCACTGGTCTGGTTAGGGTTTCCTCTGCTGCCCCTGGAGGATGGGCTCCCCCTTTGAGTCTGGTTAGGGTTAGGGCTTCCTCTGCTGCCCCCTGGAGGATGGGCTCCCCCTTTGAGTCTGGTTAGTTTGGGCTTCCTCTGCTGCCCCCTGGAGGACGGGTTCCCCCTTTGAGTCTGGTTAGGGTTAGGGCTTCCTCTGCCACTCCCTGGAGGGTAAGCTTCCCCTTTGAGTCTGGTTCCTTCCTCCTGTCACCTATGGCTTGTTTTCTAGGGGCTTAGGGCAGGGATAATGTAAAACACAATGTAATGTATTGAAAATGTGCTATACAAATAAAATTGATTTGAACTGAACTGAAGTTTAGTCTAATCACTGGCATTAAACGCAGATTTCAGGGGATAAAAGCTGTGCTGATCCAATATACTGGTGTGTGAAACTGGATCTTATGGCGCCCCCTTCTGGCGAGCGAGGGTATACGCTGATTTAAACTGCGCAGAGAAGTCGCGAAATCACGTGTCTTTGAGTGTTTTCAGAGAAACATAACCTTGCGAAAGGGATTTTTGTTACTTAAACTACTCCACAGGAACGTTGGAAGATTTATTCCGTAAAATGCAAACGATAATGGTATTAATGTTATAATACATACAGCTCATATAGTCCAGTAAGTTTAATGGCTATTAACCTTATTATGAAAATACATATGCAGATTAATGAGACACAAATGACAAAACTGACTGGTCTGGTTTATGGGAGCCTGGAGTAAACCGCGTCTTTATCTCAGTAATAAAGTCTGTAACGTCAGGGTCTTAGTAGACGTCGCCACGGCAAGGAGAAAACGTCAGGTACCTATTAAGCCAAGAGTTTAGAGACAAGGCGCACTCAAGCGAACTTGGCCGACAGCCGCGCATGGATGTGACCCGGCTGGAATGACCGGACTGGCTCCGGATCACAGAGCCTCAAACCGGATAAACTGGATAAGCGCCATTTACATCAAAGCCCTAAGCCTGTCCTCGCAGCAGAGACTCCGCTGTAAATGTCTGTGAGGCTCATGTGATCTTTCTGCGAGAGCGTTTTGGTGCTGAGGGAGCTTGCTGAATCTGACGTTGTGGAGCAATCATTATTCATTATTTTTTAAACTGTATTTTGCATACATATACATATAAACCACTTATCCGAATATATAACTGCGCCTTTTACCGTCCTCGGTGCTCTTGGCTACAGACTCTCCTTTCCTCGTTGCTCAGACTTCCCACATAATATTTTAAATTATTAATATTGCATCTACCTGCAGCTAATTTTCAACCTTTCTGTCAGTGTTTACCCGATTGATTCCCGTCCGCTGCAATTTTCACTCTCAGCTTCTATGTTGTTATTTACAGAAAATGCCTTCACGGAAATGATTGCCTTTCCTTTCTCGGGGAAATGGAAGACATCTGTTTTAATCATGGGCAAACAGTTGCCCTCGATGTAATTAATGAAAATGTATTTAGCGATTTTAATGTGCCCTTCTGAAATGTCACATTACCTCTAGTTCGGATAATATTTGCCCAGAGATTGAGAAGAAAATGAGTTAGGAATTAGTGGTGGGTAATCAGATTGTGAGCGAAAGTGTGACCTTCACCTCGCCTTCCAGCCGTGGCGGGGGTCCGCCCGGCCTCCGTCCTCTTAAAGGGACCCTACCCGAGGAAGACACATCCCCTTCTAACTGAGACGCAGCTAAGAGCTAAATCCTGATGCAAGATGTATCGGTCGTTCGTTTATTATAGTTTAGTTAAGTGTTTAAAATGGCACCTTCGGATACAGCGAAGCGTGGGGAGCTTTTAATTGATGCAACTCACCCCCTTACCTTCCATCCACACACACACGTTTGTAATCATATCTTTGTGCGAACTGTCCTTTCATGTTTATGGCCATAACCCTAATCCCTACAATGACACCCTTAACCACCGCCCAGCCCTAACCTTAACCATAACCATAAGTAACCAAACTAACTAAGACCTTCGGCACTTTTCGTTTTTTGATTGCAGTCACAGATTTTTACAAAATTGAGTTTCCCCTTGTGGGGCCCAAAAAATGGTCCTTACAAGGTCAAAAAAACATTTGGGGACATTTGGGCCCCACAATGTAATATATAGGCTACACATCCCCACATACATACAATTACACATATATACTGATTCCGTCAATTTGGCAGCACTAGTTACTCATTGCTTGTGATGATGGTGAAGCTGTACCCCATACACGGTCTCCTGTTTGAAGACCAGCATGCTGACAGAATTCTGACCGTTCAGAAGATCAACCTGCCCTGAAACCTTAAACCAGGCTTCAGGGTTACGTCACAGTTAACTGGAGCCACCTTATTGGACTTAATAGCGGCTTTCGTGGTCTTTGTCACTCTACATTACATTGGTGGCCTCCAGTGGCCACACATAGTACTGCACTCAGCTCAGAAAATTACAGACACCGGAGGTTGTAGAGTGACCAGCAGTCCGCAGCGGGCACCTCTGCTGCTGCGGGGTTGGGGGGTTGGGGGGGGGGCGCAGACAGAGGGAGAGAGCGAGCCGTGTAAATTAATTGGTTTTGTTAAATCCCCCCTTGAACGGGAAGCTGTTGCAGTCTCACAAAAGGCCATTACAGGCAATCAATTTAAATCTGTTTTACCCGTCCCACAGAAACCAATTAGGAAATTTAATTTTACTTTTTGATTTACAGCATTTACACATACAGGGTCCAATCCAGTTAAAATGCTGAAGAAAGAGAGGAAGGCTGGGATGCTGGAGATGGACCAAAGCCTGTTGATTGAATCGTTCAGGGAGCGGATGGATGAAAGCCTCCCTGCTTTAATGAATACAGCTGCAGAAAACAAACACACCTAATTGCTGACATGAAGACAAAAGCAGGAGTTTTCCTTCGGCTGTCTGGTACAGGCTCCCGGCGCAGCCAGAGAGGGAGCGGAGGTGCAGGCGGCCCCTTGATTCACAGTGCCAGCTGTGTCCCTAGTTTGCCAACTGCATTTCCCCCTGACAGATTACTCCAATATGTAAGACCTTACAAAATGAGCCTCCTTAAACTCTTAAAAACAGCTCCTTCAGTCAGACACTACATCCTGTTACTCTGCCTCTGAACAGCAGCATATTTCACCACCAATTACGGCATTCTGCCCCCCCCCCCCCTCACCTCCCCTGCATACACCTGACAACTGGCATCTCCCTAATTTGCATTTCTGCTTGTGAACTGGACTCCCCAACAGTGATTGTGAAAGGATGATGCAGTGTTTCACTTCAGGCACTAGATGGAAGCATATTGTTTACTAAAGGAAATGGGTCTGGCACTGGCTGCAGACTCACAGGAAGGCAACACTGGCAGCCGTAGTGTGACCTCACAACATTAAGGAACGGCCTGTTACAGCAAGAAAGTGTGACAAATGGTGATGATGTAACTTGTATAACAAAAATAACATGCTATCAGAATGCTTTAGCATGTAACAGTGAAATATAGCTGAGTTGTTGTTAGGCCATCTGTTAAGATGGAATATAGAAGGAGGGAACAAGTGAACAGCAGACAGAGAGACACACACATGTAAGATGGGCTTGTGTCTCCATGCTGCTGACTCTCCCCAGTCCGCTGGAGCCTCACAGCGAGTCCTGACACGCCCCATGTGAGCCAACCCCTCCATTGCTAAACACTCTGTCTGCTATGCTGGGGGGGGGGCATCGTGATAGTAATCCCTGCCAGGGGCCCTCATGTTCACTTTGATCTCACAGGAGCCTCAGAGCCTTTCTGGAGACTGCTGAGGTATCTTCCTATCATTCTGAAGGCCTTGCCCTCTACACCAGCAGAAAGGGCTTATTTTCCACAAGCAGCAAACAGTGGAGCTGATATACCACTGAGCTATATCTACACCTCCTCCATCCTGATCATGGTCATTCTCATTAAGCAACAAAGTCTATTAGGCGATCGTGGTAATCAGAAGGGTTCTGAGAGCGAGGTTTAGTCCGGGATAGTGTTTTGTGAGTTTGTTTACAAAGTTGTCTTTACACCTCTCCCAACCTGCTCTTGGTAGAGTAAGCTGTCTGCGAAGGGCAGCCACCTGTAGCGGTGTCCAGGGAGCTGGGGGTTAAGGGCCTTGCTCAAGGACCTGCAGATGTGCTGAGTGTGGGTTTGAACCAGCAACCTTCTGATTATAGGCACACAGGCTTAGCCCACTGAGCCACACGCTGCCCCCATTCAAGACATGGACACATATGGTCGGCGTCCCATAATGCAACGCAGCATTGTGAGTCGAAAAAGAGGGCAAGTGGTGTGATGCAATTTAGAGAGAGAGAGGGCAAGAAGAGAGAGGACAGGAAGGGAGAGAGGACAGAGAGAGAGAGGGAAGTGAGGTAGAGCTGGGAGCTGCTTTGACACACCATGACTGCTGAGAGGGCATGATGCCAAAAAGCAGAAACAGAGCAGCTACAGTGTGTCACTCGAACCTCCAGCCGCAGGGTAGCACCCCCCACCCCCCTGCTTTGTCCCACCGGGCACACAACTGCTCTCAGCTTTCCTCTTAGGTGTGAACCATGGACTGTTTACACTGAGATTATCATGGGTGGCGTGTCAGTAATACAGCCACCTGCTGATTGGAATAGCAGCATGAAGGGGCGGGGTCAGAGCTGACCAATCAGAAAGCGGAAGGTGTGACCCTCAGGCCCTGAGCCTGGCCCGCCGAGTGCGGTGAAGTTGAACACACTTCAAAAGAACAACAGAAACGCATCAGAGCATCGCTGTTTCGAAATCCATTCTGTTTGGAACGACAGGAAAGACCAGAGGGGAAACGAACTCAAAGCAGGGGAATTGCAGGTGGGGGAGGGGGCAGGGGGGGGGGTCTTTGTTAAAAATGGCAGCTGTTCTGTGATCAGTGTGGTTTAATCTTTGCTGTTATCGTCACCACATAGAGTTACCCCTTTGGGTGTTCCTGTCGAAAACAAACAATGATACCTCCCCAACCCTCGCTGGGCAGCAGTGGCTAGTGGAGGTCAGGGTGGGGAGATCTGGAGGGAGATGGAGGGAGATGGAGAGAGATGGAGGGAGGGAGAGAAAGAAGCCAGAGTGTCAGGCACCATTAAGGGAGGATCTGCAGCAAGGCGGGGTGGGGGGTCCAGGAGGAACGTGACTTAGTAGTGAAGCCCAGGCAGGTTCAATGCCAGGGTGCCAGGCACGTCCCCACCATCCTGGCACAGCTACAGATGGGCGTTTTGCTTCCTGGCACAGCCTGATTTCTCATGCTCTAATTGGCTGTGATTTGTCATGCATTAACCAGTCTGAGCCCTTGTTCTCCTTTCTGCAGACCTTGTTGTGTGTGTGCAGTGAGTCTGGTCTGAACAATGGAAGTGTCACAACGTGATGGTACTAGAGGTACTGAGACAGAGCCCAGGAAGCTGGGACAACCAGCAGTTAGTGGCAGTGCTCCTCCTGGTGGAAGATGCATGCTTTTACAAGTGTGTCTATGACAGGCAGAGAGTGTGGCTGTCTCTGTCCAATCGGAGAGCCCGTGATTATGTTGGAGAATATTATTAGTCTATAAAGCCAACATTCCTGGCACTTGGGCTCCTCTGATTTGAGCCAGGCAATGGAGGAGCTGCTACTGATGCACACCCCCTTGGACAGAGCAGATGCCCTGGGTGTCTGTGCCAGAGGAAAAACCACAGAGGCTGGAAGATGGAAGTGCAAGGTGGCATCCTTTTGATGCCACAGGAGGGATCATTGAAAACACACACCAATGAGACCAATGCATAGGAAGTCAGAGACGTGCAGGTCTGGAAGTACGGCACTGAAGAACAAAGTCGTTACCCTTGATTTCAAAACACTCTGAGATGCATTAGTGCAGCTGAGTAATTACTAGAAGCTCGATCAGAGAGATCTGCTGAACAGGGGCTCCGAACGGCAGGGTTCACGCTGAGCTCCACTAAACGGAGCCTGAGTCAATTGCGGGCGAGCAAGCCGGAATGGCCGGCTCACAGGCTGCTCCTTTGCTCTGCCGGATCTGTACGCTCGCGCAGGAGTCATCATGCTCCTCACGGGCCTGTGCTCCGCATGGGCGTGTGCTCCTCACGGGCCTGTGCTCCTCATGGTCTGGCCTTCCTCATATGCAGGCGCTCCTCACGGGCCTGTGCTCCTCACAGGCCTTTGCTCCCCATGGGCCTGCGTTCCTCACGGGCCTGTGCTCCTGACGGTCCGGCCCTCCTCGTGTGCAAGTACTCCTCACGGGTCTGCGCAGGTGCGTGTGTGCCTGCGTATTGGTGGGGACCAGATGGACGGGGTGATGACAGCAGCAGGCGTGGGCAGTGTGTCGGGGGGGGGGACAGGGCGGGGCACAAAGGTGACTCTCAGAACACTGTGGCGCATTTTGCAGGACCAGATGGTGGCAGTACAGACCCCGCCTCCTGCTGCTCATTTACGTCACCCTTGGGGCTGGCCTGCCAGGCTCAGCGGGTCATCCTCCCTCTGGGGAGGGGCTACAGAACAGTGACATAACCGCACCCAGCGGGGCGAGTGAGGGCTGTACCACTCATGACCAATGGAGGCACCCAAGTCACAGACCTCCTCACAACCTCCTCCATAACGCAGGTAGGACATGGCAAGTAGCAGAGCCTCACGTCTGAGCCATCCAGCCAATCAGGGAGGAGGACTTTTTTATGCTTGTTTTTTCCCGGTTTTTCTGGTTAGTTCCTGCCATGTCGAGTGCGTCTCCCCTTCCCAGATCACGTCTCCCCCTCTCCCACGCATCAGTCTCTGCTGCCCCCCTCCCTGCCTCATCAGGCTGCCATTGTGCAGCTCATTGGGGGACTAGTTGGACAGACTGGGCAGCGGCTCATGCTGCCTGTCATCAGCTGATGTTAGCGCTGGTTGCTGATTAGCCGGCTGCTGATTACCTGCCTCCCCCCCACCCCACTGCCCTGTCAGCCTCCATGATGGGACCTGAACCCTCCAGGTCGTCCCTGGCCCTTCTCCTCACACCCTTGTCTGCTACAGGTGGGAAGGCAGCTGGCAGGAGACCTGGAATCCCCTCAGGAGGTCCACAGGTGGAGACCCCCAGAAGAAGCCCCAGCTGTGTCTGACCAGTCCTCCTCCCCAGCACCTCAGTGGCATTTCATTTTGCTTTCACAGATCTGGACTCTTTTCTAGAACCTTCAGAAGGAGGCCAGGAGGGCTGTTTGAATAACCAGTGGTTCTCCTTTTTCTATGCCTCTCCTCCATTCTTATATTAATCCCCCGCTCAGCTCTTCCTATTTAGGAGGACACTTCACACTGACTTATGCTGCTGCTGCTGTGTTTTTCTCCCAGTCTGTGGGTGGAGCCTACAGAGAAGGTGGGACTGCAGTGGGCATGACCTGCAGAGAAGCTGGAACTGCAGTGGGTATGACCTGCAGAGAAGCCGGGACTACAGTGGGCATGACCTGCAGAGAAGGCAGGACTCCAGTGGGCGTGACCTGCAGAGAAGGCGAGAATGCAGTGGACGTGACCTGCAGAGAAGGTGGGACTACAGTGGACATGTCCTGCAGAGAAGCTGGGACTGCAGTGGGCATGACCTGCAGAGAAGGCGGGACTACAGTGGGCATGACCTGCAGAGAAGGCGGAACTGCCATGGGTGTGACCTGCAGAGAAGGCAGGACTCCAGTGGACGTGACCTGCAGAGAAGGCGGGAATGCAGTGGACGTGACCTGCAGAGAAGTTGGGACTGCAGTGGGCGTGACCTGCAGAGAAGGCGGGACTGCAGTGGACGTGACCTGCAGAGAAGACGGGACTGCAGTGGATGTGACCTGCAGAGAAGGCGGGACTGCAGTGGACGTGACCTGCAGAGAAGGCCGGACTGCGATGAGATTGGACTGTAGAGAAATTGAGCCACCCTAGCCCTCCTCCCAGGTCTGTCTCTGACCGTGTAGGCTGTCAGTGGGGTACTTACGCACACAGTGACCTTGCAACCCCACCTGAGGTGGTTTATCATCTGGCTGTGAATGATAGCTGTGTTTTTTTGACAGGGGCCACTGGCAGACTTGATGGCTTCAGCGATGACAGCATTACGTAATAAAAGCTACAGTAAAACATGCAGTGTCATTTCGTGCTTTTAATGAGAAGCCGGGGGAGCAGTGCCCAGACACCTGCTCGCGACTCTGTGGGAACAGATTAGCGTGACTCACGGTTGTCACGGAGACCAGTCGTCTCTCATGGGCTTGATCATCTGTGGATGGTTTTTCAATGTAATCCAGAGTCGACTCTCAAACACCCGAGATCCAAACCACCCTGCTCTGCCCCCAGCCCCCCCACCGGAGAGGAGTCTGCATCTCCCATCTGAGGAATAGGTAATTAATTAGTTAGGTCTTCCACTTCAGGCTGTAATGTCTCTTATCCCACTGCCTAATGAGGCAGTACAACTTTCTGCACATTAACTTGGGGGGGGGGGGGGAGGAGGGTGCATTTTACAGACCACTGGAGGGGGGTTGCACTACACATGTAGGCAGCATATTTTCCAGGGGTTTCTCTGACATGTCTGTGTCCAGATGCTGGGCTGACATAGATTAGCCAGCAGTCCAATTAGCTGTAATGGAGTGTGCTATGTGCCGGCCTGATAGTTGTGGACAGAGCTGTGAGCGCAGGCCGCGCTCTGTGTCCATCACTGCCCATTTATCCCGCTACAGCGCAGGCCGCGCTCCGTGTCTGTAACTGCGCATCTATCACGCTACAGCGCAGGCCGCGCTCCGTGTCCGTAACTGCGCATCCATCACGCTACAGCGCAGGCCGCGCTCTGTGTCCATCACTGCCCATTTATCCCGCTACAGCGCAGGCCGCGCTCCGTGTCCGTAACTGCGCATTTATCCCGCTACAGCGCAGGCCGCGCTCCGTGTCCATCACTGCGCATTAATCCCGCTACAGCGCAGGCCGCGCTCCGTGTGCGTAACTGCGCATTTATCCCGCTACAGCGCAGGCCGCGCTCCGTGTCCATCACTGCGCATTTATCCCGCTACAGCGCAGGCCGCGCTCCGTGTCCGTCACTGCGCATCCATCATGCTACAGCGCAGGCCGCGCTCCGTGTCCATCACTGCGCATTTATCACGCTACAGCGCAGGCCGCGCTCCGTGTTCGTCACTGCGCATCCATCACGCTACAGCGCAGGCCGCGCTCCGTGTTCGTCACTGCGCATCCATCACGCTACAGTGCAGGCTGCGCTCCGTGTCCGTCACTGCGCATTTATCCCGCTACAGCGCAGGCCGCGCTCCGTGTCCATCACTGCACATCCATCCTGCTATAGCGCCCTCATCATCCCAAAGATTCATGCTGGCTGCCCGCTAATCGCTTGCTAATTATTAGCAGGTGATGGTGCCTCCATTGAGTGCTGCATCTTAGCGTTGGAGGGCTGACTGGGGGGGGGGCGGGGTGGATGGTAAAAACCCAGTAAAGAGGAGTGTAAATAAATAATGAATTACCCCCAAGGCGGGGCCAGCCGGACCAGCTGGGGCAGGGGGGCGGCAGCGGCTAACAGCAGAGCGAGACTCTCCATGGGAAACAAGGCGCAGAATCATCCATCAGCCAGGCGGAGGGCCTGTCAGGCTGGGTCGGGAGGGGAGGCAGAGGCAGATGGGCAGGGATGATGTGTCCCAGCTCAGGGCTGCGGGTGGGGGAGGGGGGGCAGAAGCCTGAGCACTGCCCGGATGGAGAGCTGTTCTGACTGGCCACTGTCCTGTCACTGTCCTCACGCCCCCTGCTGCCTGTCATTATATGTGAGCCGATTAACATCACATTGTTACAGAAAGTAATTAATATATGTTCTGCAATTGATTAATTGATTATGTCCATATATAAATAAAACCGCAGCAAAGTCCTCAATTAGGCCGTCTGATGTCTTATGTGAGACAAAACGCTAATTAGACCTGATTATCTCGTCAGTGGCATTTTGACAATCTATAAAACCGCTGCTCAGTTGCTAACAGACTAAAGGGGTAAATAAGGAGGCTTTAATTAGTCTGATAATCACACAGTCAGTTTTCCAGTGCTCAGGCTCACCTCCAGGGGGCGAACAGGGGCCACCACTTCACTAAGAACTCTGGGTAATGCTGGAGCGCACCAGTGCCATACCAGCAGAGGTGCCCCCCTTTTCAGGCCTGGTTTTTATCCACAGAATAATCGCTGGGACCCCACAGGTTGTCACTCTCAGGATTTTCTTGTGGGCTGGAGGGTTAGGCTTAGGCTTAGGCTTAGGCTTAAGCTTAGGCTTAGGCCTCTCCAGCCCGGAGCTCTGAGGATAGCCAATAGAACCAGCCCATCTAGCGCAAGGTCAGGGTAGGCCCTCCTCTGGCTATGGCTGTGGCCTATCCTGCAGGAAGATACCGGACAGCATGAAATCCTCAGAACGAGGCCTACATGTGTGTTCCTGTGCCCCCACACCCGGCCCCCCGTCATAGTACTCCCAGCCAGGGTGGGGGAATGTCAGTCAGTGCTACCGCCGGGCTTCTCTGCCCAGAGCCTCACACTGTGTCACAGTGTCCCTCACTGCATCCACCCAGACAGACCCTGTCCCACAGAGGCCACTTCCCAGCAAAGACCACACCCTTACAAAGGCTACACCTGACAAAGACCGCCCCCTCCACACAAAAGGCCACTCCCCCAGCAAAGACCCCACATGACAAACATTGCCCCTAAAAAGGACCCCCACCCCTCTTCTCCTCCAAAGGCTAATCAGAACAGAAAGCAAATGAGACCTCTGGGTTTCCTGCGTTCTCCACGTGCATCTCCTGTGGGCTGTGGGCTGGATCCCTGCCAAGTTTGTTTCCCCTGAATTTCTCACAAAAATAACACTCTTTGCTAAGTCTGTTCTTCTCCCTCCAGGGGACAGTGGGATGAAGAAGATGCCGATAGTCTTGCTGCTTGGACGGCTGGAGGCTCTGGGGAGCTGCTGCAGATTCCCACACTGCCAGTGACACCAGCGTCTGAGTCCCAGCCTGACAGCAAAGACGCCCCACTGACTGTTGCCACTCTGCTGTCATTCTGCTCTTTAGCCGACATCTAAACATCCTGTCGCCTCAATGACGTGCCACTGTCCCCTCTGTGTAAAGTGACATTAATGCTGCATTGTCAAGAAGCACTTAAGCATGAACTAAGAGAGAGTGAGAGAGAGAACTTTGGGTGGTGGCAGAGGGGTAACAGAGCACTGCACCTTCTGAGGGGGATGAGGAAGGGGGGGGGGGCTCCTGATGGCAGATGATGCACAGGAGGNTTTGGGTGGTGGCAGAGGGGTAACAGAGCACTGCACCTTCTGAGGGGGATGAGGAAGGGGGGGGGGGCTCCTGATGGCAGATGATGCACAGGAGGGCATTTATTCTGGGGGGGGTCGCTGTGTGTTTTTCTCTCACTACAACAGTCGTCTTCAGCTGACCTGGATGCTCCTCCAGAAGCTCTCCATGAAGAGGCAGGAGCTGGGAGCTATAGCGCATAAACTGTCTTTGAGAGGTTTGTCCTGTCTCTGGGTGTCTGTCCTGATTCTGGGGGGTCTGTCCTAATTCTGCGGGGTCTGTCCTGTCTCTGGGGCATCTATCCTGTCTCTGGGATGTCTGTCCTGATTCTGGGGGGGTCTGTCCTGTCTCTGGGGGGTCTGTCCTGTCTCTGGGGGGTCTGTTCTGTCTCTGCGAGGGCCTAACCTGCCTTTGTCTTCTTAAGACATCATGGTAAATTAGCTGGCGTAAGTTGCTGCACTGTGAAGACTTTGCAGGCCTATCTGCTCTTCCTCAGTGTGATACGGCGGCCTGCTTGCACACAAATGTGGAAGCGGCTGATTCACGTGAAGCTTTCCATCACGACGGGGACAGGTGTGAACGCACGGCTGCCTCTGCCGGGCACTGGGGGGGCTTGAAGCGGCACACTGCTTCCACATCATCTCCTCAGTGGGAGCTGATGAATAATAATGGAAACTGTAATGCAAAGGGGGGGTGGGGCGGGGGATTAGCTGCCACCTGCTGAGCAACGCCCAGTAACACGCATATGTATGTCTGAGAGTGTGTGTATGTGTGTGTTTGTGAATGTGTGAGTGTGTATGTGTGTCTCTGTGAGTGTGTGTGTGTGAGTGTGTCTCTGTGAGTGTGTCTGTGTGTGAGTGTGTGTCTGTGAGTGTGTGTGTGTTTGTGAATGTGTGAGTGTGTATATGTGTCTCTGTGAGTGTGTCTCTGTGAGTGTGTGAGTGTGTCTGTGTGAGTGTGTGTATGTGTGTGTGTGTGAGTGTGTGTTTATGCCCTTGAGAAATACACCCTGATCTGACTAAATGAAAATGTCAGTCACTTTACCCCACTTTACTCCCCCCGCCCCAAAAATGACATACATACATATGAATGCAGTGATCACATGATCGTTAGGCGTGGCATTGGCCGTCTTACTGAACCTGTCAAACCCAGTCAGGCTGAAAATGCTGCAAGGTCCTGCTGGCACAAGAATGTGCAGCGCTGCACGTCTGTGTCATTAATCCGCAGGCTGAGGGCGCGGCACGGGAGGGCTCATCTGATAGCCGATAACACCACACAGATCCATCTGAACGTCACCGCCTGACATTTGGGAAGGCAGCCCGGATTCTCCCCAGGCCAAAATAATGAGCAAACGGCAGATAGCGGAGCCTTGGCGGCTCATAAAGAGGATCTGCAGCTTCGGTCGGGGCCTGGTGGAGCGCGCTCACACTGCGGGCTGCGTGCGCAGCTCAGGACACTGGCTGGATGCGGGCAGAGACGTCGCATTTACACTCTGTTTTACTGCAGGCAGCTTGTTAGTTTACTGCCCGGCAGAGTGTTCCATTATCCGAGCGGTGCTCCTCTCCAGAATAGAGACCGTAACTCTGCAGAACCCCCTCCCGTCTGATCACGCGGCGGTGCGGGCCTGACAGCCCCCACCGTGCTGCTGACTCAGTGTTCCCGGCTCTGACGGGGCCCCCTGGGCCGCATACACCGCCAGCTCTCTGTCAGCTGTGAACAAGACCGTCCGAAAACACTTAAGGCATCAGCATTCCGGGGCTTTCCGGCTCATCCTGTATCTGTGTGTTTGCTGCTCCGCGTG